GGTGAGTTTTTACATAGTGGTTTCTTATATATGGGATTAAAAAGCCTTTTTGTGATGGCAGTGTACATTTAGTAGAGTTGAAAGGTTCCAGCCAGTATTTTGCCATGAAGAGCATGGACAAGAGCGTGATGATAAACAGGAACAAGGTGATATCTCTGTGAACTTTGAAACTCACACTGATCTTTTGAACAGGTTCATCGTGCATGTGCTGAAAGAGAAATTCTTGGATTGATGGACCATCCGTTCCTCCCGACACTATATGCTTCTTTTCAGGTTTGCCAGTGCTTTCTGAGTTTTGAACATACAGCATTTTGCTTTCTAAATTGACTTTTTCCCTGCAGACTGCGACTCACGTTTGCTTAGTGACAGACTTTTGTCCTGGAGGGGAACTCTTTCTTCAGATGGAGAAACAACCACTAAAATGTTTTGCAGAAGAAGTAGTAAGGTGGCAGCTGAACGTTTTCCTTTTGTTCATTTTTTCACTCCTTTTCACTTTTTTGGAGCAGATTTTATGCCGCAGAAGTCTTGGTTGCCTTGGAGTATCTTCATTGCCTGGGTGTGTTTATAAACCGTGCTGCCTTGCTGCATACTTACTAAATTCGTTGATAGTGCAGGCGTTGTCTATCGAGATCTCAAACCGGAAAACGTTCTAGTCCAAGCGAACGGACATTTGTGTTTGACGGACTTTGATCTTTCTTTGCTATCTACAACAAAACCACAGGTCTGGTGGTGTTTTCTCTACAATCCTTTTCACCTCAGCGTTGTTTCCAGCTGATACGTCCAGTGCTTCCGTCGGGGAAAAGGAAGCCAAAGATACCGCCGCCGCCAGCGTTTGTAGCCGAGCCTTTAGCACGATCCAACTCTTTTGTGGGAACAGAGGAGTATATTGCCCCTGTAAGAACTGTAATTTTCCTGTCTTGACTTGTTAGTTTTTATATTTCTTTCTTGTCCCAGGAAATCATCAAAGGCGCAGGCCATGGAAGTGCCGTAGATTGGTGGGCTTTCGGTAAAGCAGCATTTTCTCTCGTTTGTTATAGCTTCTTTCTGACTTCCCTGTTTTCTAAGGCATACTAGTGTACGAGATGTTATTTGGACGAACACCATTCCGGGGAAAGAACAGGCAAAAAACTTTCGAGAACGTGTTACAAAAGGATCTCGTCTTTCCGAGCAGTAAACCCGTGCGTGTGTTTTCTTTTTCAAGTTTTTTTTTCGCTTAAAAAGCACAAAGTTTTCGCTCTGCAGGTTAGTCTACAAGCGAAGCAACTCATACGATCGCTGCTCCAACGTGATCCCTCCAAGAGACTAGGAGGTTTAAACGGAGCATACGAAATCAAGCGACATCCTTTCTTCACCGGTATCAACTGGCCTCTCATACGCTGCATGGTTTGTTTCTTCCTTCGCCTTGAAAAATCGAAGAAGAACTAACTGGGTTTGATTCTATAGCCGGCACCAGAGCTCGACACTCCAATCCAATTCATTAACAAAAACGCAGAACCAGCGGCCACCAAAGATGAGAACTACGCTGACGTTTTCTAGGAGGCCAAGGTATTGTTGTCATATGGTTTTGGGATTTCCTTGTTTCTCTTCTAGCGATTTCATGAGATCAAAACCAAGGTTGTATGAGAGATAGAGCTTTGGTAACAGTAGCAGACTACGTCCAAGCCTTGAAAGCCGCCTCTCGATCCAGGGATGCTACCAAGTGCAAGAAACTCCACAAATGGATCGTGGAGAGCGAGCACCGCAGCAATGGGCTCCTAGGCAATCACCTCATCGAGGCATACATCCAATGCGGCAGGGTGGAAGCAGCGCAGTCAGTGTTTGATGGGATCGCCAGTCCAGACAAGTTCTCCTGGGGCATCCTCTTCCACGCTTACGCTCGCAATGGGCATCACGCCGAGGCCAAGCACGTCTTCGATCGAATGCCCGCGCGATGGATCGTGTCGTGGACCGCGATGCTGCAGTCACTCACCCACAACCGGCACTTGGATGCTTCGATGCTTTTCTTCGAGAGAATGCCGTCAAGGAACGTTATATCTTTCACCACTATGCTGGCAGCGCTCCAGAGATCCGGGGAACTCGGTCGAGCCAGCGCCCTCTTTGCCGAGATGCCGGAAAGAGATGTTTGGGTGTGGACTATCATGTTTCAAGCAAATGCCCAGCAGGGGCATTTGGATGAATCAAAGCGGATGTTCGATGCGATGCCGCTTTGGAGCATTGTTTCGTGGGGGGCGATGATCGCTGTGTTTGTGCAGCACAGAAAAATGGATGAAGCCAGCGATTTGTTTCAAGGCATGCCAGAGAGAGACCTCGTCACTAGCAACAATGTGATCGCGGGATATGCCGCAACCGGGAATCTGGACTGCGCTAGATTCCTATACGAAAAGATGCCGGCATGGGACGTTTGTACATACGCCTCCATCTTCGATGCATACGCCCAAAACGGCCATACGAACGCTGCCAGGAAGATTTTTATCGACTTCCCGCAAAGAGATTCGGTACTATGGACCAGCCTGTTATCGGCCTATGCCCGACAAGGGAATCTCCACGAGGTAGATGTAATCCTCTTAAAGATGCCGCAGAGATGCGTCATATCTTTGACGGCGGCATTGACCGCTCACGCACAGTCAACAAAAGTCAGCGCCTCGAAGGGCTTGTTTGACGAGATGCAAACGCGGGATATCCTGCCCTGGAATCTCTTGCTGATGGCCTATGCCCAGAATGGGCATCTTGGCAAGTTGGAGAGCGTCTACGCAAAGATGCCCGAGCACAATGTCTTTAGCTCTACGTGCATGGTGGGAGCATATGCTCAGACAGGGAATCTAGAACAGGCAAAGACAAACTTTGTGAGAATCCCGGCAGAGAACACAGTCGCATGGACGACGCTCCTCGTCGGCTGTGCGCACACCGCTGCATGGCAAGAGGCGCTGGAGATCTTCAAGGCCATGAACTGCGATGGTATACCGCCCGACGACGTCACATTCCTGGGAGTTCTCACGGCTTGCAGCTACGTCGGTCGGCCCGAGGAAGGAAGGAGCCGGTTCCTGTCGATGATCCAAGACCACGGAATACCGCCGGCTCTCAAGCACTACCACTGCATCCTGGATATCCTGGGCCGGGCCGGGAGACTGGAAGAGGCCGAGGAGCTCGTCCATACCATGCCTTTCGAGCCGGACGACGTTGCGTGGACGATTCTGCTTGGAACTTCGAGAGTTCACTCGGACCTCGATGTTGCCACCCGAGCAGCGGACGAACTTGGCACGGCAGCGAGCAGCGCACCGCATTTGCTGCTCCTCAAAGCGTACGCGCAGAGACAAGTGGAGGCGCTCTTATGATCTACAGAGAAGATGTTTAGACAAGTCTGGAAGAAAACTCCGAGCACAATCAAAACAATGTCTACAAAACTTGCCTTGTGTGTCGCTGCTCGAGACTTCCATCGGGAACTTTCAAGCTGTGACCGGTGGTGGCGGATCGCTACCTTCTTGCCCAGGCTCGGCCTGTGTTTCTGGTTCTTTCTTCTTTGCTGCTACTGCCGCGGCCCTTCTTAACTTGTACTTGGCTAGAGCTCCCTTCTTCTTCTTCAAGTCTCGGGTAGTGGGCTCCTTGACGAGTTTCTTCCAAGGTACTCGTTCCGGTGGAGGCTTTTCAATCACTCTCCAGTTTCGCTTGTTCGAGCCACTCATCCTCATCACTCCAGTCTTTAAAACTCCTGGAAAAAGAAGACTTAGATCAAGAAAAGCCAGGGCTTGTGCATACCGTTCTCGTGAAACATCCCCCAAGCTTTCCCGTGGTTCAAGCTCTGGATAGAAGAAGAGCACACACAGAGAAGCTACATTCGTCGAATCTTCCTAGAGCTTACCTTGTAGAGATTGATCCTAGTGAGAACAAAGTAACGATCCCTCCTCCAAGTTTTCTTCTGGAACTTCATCCCCATTCCCCAGTCAGGCAGCCCGGCCAGGATATCAAACAAGTTCTTGCGAGGCCCCGCGGAGAGCTTGCTTCCATCGCCAGGCCGTGGCGATGGAGGATCTCGGCGCTTGAAATCCGGATTCTTCTTCCCCTTACCTCCATGCTTGACGGATTTCACCAGGCACCGCGTCGATCCAGGCAGCGGATCCCTCTGCAAGACAATGGAGGCGGCCTTCTTCCTCGCCAGGAACATCGCCATCGCCATGGCCTAAAAACCCTAAACCTCGCTCTTGGATTGGAGAAATTTCTTGTGTATGCTTGGGCATCGCCAATGCCATTCCCTGGGCAGATTTCCAGCCACGTATCGCGAAGAGATCGCGCCGACGCCGTGAGAGGATGCGTGGATCTGGCAGTCGCGAGGAGGATCCACGCCCGCATTTCCTCGCACGGCGATCCTTCCAGCGACACTCGCCTCTCCAATTTCCTCATCGACATGTACACGCGATGCGGCAGCCTGGACGACGCTCTTCCACGCCATGGAAATTCCCAATCTTTTTCTCTTGGAACATCGTCGTCAAGAGCTTCGTGCGCAGCGGGCATCTGGAAGAAGCGAGGAGCGCGTTCGATCGAATGCCGGCGCGTAACGTGGTCTCCTTCAAAGCCATGATCGCGGCGCATTCGCAGAGCGGGCATCTGGAAGAAGCCATCCGGATCTTTGATCTGATGCTGGAGAGAGACGAAGTCACCGGAAATTCAATGATCACGGCCTATGCCGCGAGCGGCGAGACCAAGCGATCCAAAAATATCTTCCACGACATAGAAACTAGAACCCTAATCTCATACAACGCTCTCATAACAGCATATACCCGAAACCGGCATCTTGTCGAGGCAAAGATTGCGTTTGACAGGATGCCCGAGAGAACCATTATTACATGGACTGGAATGCTATCAGCGCACTCATAAACTGATATTTTCAAAGTGCTAAGGTAGTTTTCAAAGAGATGCCCGAGCAAAACATAGTCGCATGGAAGGCAATGATTACAGAAATTGCCCAAATTGGGTATTTTGAATAAGCGAGGGTTGTCTTTGACAAAATGCCCTTCTGGGATCACTTTAGCTGGAATGCTGTAATCACTGCATATGCAGAGAAGGGTTTTACTCGTGAAGCGCAAAAAATGTTTTCGAGAATGCTACAGCATGAATTTGTCTCGTGGAATGCGCTCATTTCAGCAAATACCAAGCTTGGGAATCTGGATGAAGCCAAGCGATTGTTTGAATCGATGCCGGTGAGGAACACCTGGAATCTCATGCTTTTGGCGTATGCGCAGGGATCCAAGCTCAGAGAAGCGAAGGTTATGTTCGATGGAATGCCCGGGTGGGATCTCCCATCATGGTTATCGCCTACTCAAACAGCTCCAAGCTCGAGGAGGCTCGATTCTTCTTCGACAATCTCCCGCAGCAAAACGAGGTTGCGTGGACTTCCATGATCCACGGCTACGTTTCCAACAGCCAGGTCGAGGAAGCCCAGATCCTCTTCTCCCGAATTCTGGTGCGCGATTCCATCTGCTGGACTGCGATGATCGAGGCCTACGCTCAAAACGACGCACATGCCGCGCGGGCGATGTTCGATCGAATGCCCGAGCGCCACAACGTTGTCGCATGGACAGCGATGATCCAGGCCTACGCTCTCACTGGGAATTTCTTTCACGCTTCGATCCTCTACCAGGACATGGTCTTGGAAGGAATGGCTCCCGACCGGATCGCATTCACTGGAATCCGCATCTCATGCAGCTACGCGGGGCTCCTCGCCAAATCGCGAGCCTATTTCGTGTGGCTCGCCCCGATCGTGGAGCACTACTACTGCATGATCGATGTTTTTGGGCGATCCGGGATGCTAGAGGAGGCCGAGGAGCTCATCGACACGATGCCGTTCCATCCCAAGGAGATCGCCTGGACGACGCTGCTCGGCGCCTCGTGTCGATTCAGGGAAAGTCCGGGCTTTATGAGATTGGATTCGAGAAGCCCGGCGGCTTACGTCCAGCGTGATCACTGGCCGAATCGATCAAGAGAAATTAACTCACACCTTGTTGACTTATAAGTTTAAAGTTTTGCTCGTGCTCCACATTTGAAGGCTGCCTCTTCGATCTAAGGCTGTCACGAAATTTTCCATCATACTGGATCACCTGTTATTCCGTCAAACACAGACAAGCGGGACAATGAGCGGATTGCGTTTTCGAGAGGGAGAATCCTTCAGCCGCTTGACTACGAATATGAACTTGTTGATCAGGTGAGTGCTACCGTTAAGAGCTTTGGAGTCACAGAGGAGGATCTAATTGGCGTGCGTAACTGGTACAATTCCAAAGCATCCAGGGTAACAATTAATACACAGGCTGTGTTGTCAGTGGTGATGGCATTTTTCTCTGCTGCTGCTGCTCACATTCGAATCGCAAGGCGACTTTGCTACCACAATGCACGTCAAATCAGTGATCGAATGCAAAGGGTGGCAGAGGGCATTGGTCATCCTGTGGTCTCGGCCGCGTTGTTTTCCGCTCCCCTGGGCTGCTCAACCTTAGAAACAATGAAGAATAGAAAAGGGACGAAGTTACTTGAGCTTTCCCATGGCCATAGCCACTTATCCTATGTAGTTGGACAAGGTCCCAAGGCCAGAGTCTGAGAGAGAGAGCCTCCATTCCCTGCGAGCTGCTGCAACGATTGCTTGAGGTTGCAAATTCCCAGCAGCCGGTGTTGTTGTCTCTCATCTTCACATTTGCCAGGGAACGGCGCTTCTCTGCCGTGAAGTCCAGCCGCTGCATGAGAATGACAAAAATCAAACACTGAAGCTAGCACAAAAGGAAAAAAAAAAAAAAAAAAAAAAAAACTCTTACCCAGAAGTTCGTGAGAACGTTCCGGCCTTGGTTGATCGCGATCCTCATCATTCTGCAAGTATGCCACTGACGCTTCGAAAACCATCAGAGGCAATCTACAAGCACAGGAACAAATCGAATTAAATCAAGTTCAGTAGAAAAAGCTACACAAACACACGTTTGTTCCCTGTATTCTCGTCGTCTTTCCGATCTGTTGAAAGACATCATACCAATCCTTCTTCGAGAAATGGTCGACACTGAGGAAATCAAGCAATCAGATTGACGCAAAACGCTGGCTAGAATTTATAAAACTTACATCTTGCCTCCCTCCTGCGAGAACGAGCACACGTACCAGAAAGCCGGCACCTCGCCATTACGCTAGATCAGCATTGTGACCGAATGCGGATCCCAGCATTGCCGCATCAGCCTCTCTCATGGCGCCACTGCCAGCATTGACGCCATCTTGGGCTCCTAGCTCCATAGAATAGGGCGAAGTAGAAGTGGAATTTTTCAAAATTCCACTTTAAAAATATTTACAGGATACCGTTTCATCTTCAGGAGATCGCCTGGACGACGCTGCCCGGCGCCTCGTGTCAATTCAAGAGCTCTGACCATCGAGCTCATTGGATTCTTACGTCCTCCTTTCGAGCGTGCCGATTCGATCGTGAGAAATAGAAGTACGGGCAAGTTTCCGGGGGCATTATTAAGAGAGATCCCCTGACCTTGTCTACGCGTCAACGATCTCTGTCCAAGAGATGATCTTCAACATCCCGGACTTCAGAGGCATTTGCATTAATCTTGATGTTCAGTCCGGTTGCCTCAATTACTTCAACATTTCTGAGAACCATTTGCCGCAACAGTTGACAATAAAAAATCACGGTATTTGGATTTTGCGATTGTGCATATTTCCTAGCGGTCGCCATCAGCAGACAAGATTTGAACATGGAAGCACGGATCAAGAAATCCTCATGGTATAAACGTTTTTGACACTGTACCATTCTTTGCGCCGACCGTACACAGACACATCACCTTTGCATTTGTTAGAATACACCAAGTGGCCATTCCATTCCGCGGCGAAATAGTCCAAGAGATGACATTCCTGCCCGGAATTAGTCATCAAAAGAGAGAGTACACCCCCAGTGGTCGCAATTCTCACACGCAGAGATGACGTACTGGCGCGTCTTGGACCATCCCTGGCCACTGAGATGTACGTAAGCGAAATGGGCCACGTTTGACAATGACCAGCGCGCTGCTCACCTACTCCAGGAGGCATCGTGACCGTCGGATGCCATCACACCTCTCAGTCAACTAAGGCAGACGTGGCGTGTCGCCATTGGCAACTGTACGCATCGTGCTATAAAGCCCTACCAGCTCGGACTGGCAAAACTCGGCATTTCGCTCGCCAGCGCGGCAAATGCTTTCTAGACCTAAATCTGGAGCATATTCTCCAGCACCCAAGGAGCATCTTTAACCTCCAAGACATGGCTGCCCGATACTCGTTGGGGATGTCGTCGATCGAGAGCGCGTTCATCAAGCGCTCGCTGGATCCAGAGAATGTGAGTTCCTCTCCTTCCAATTGCTCCTCGATCCTTGGCGAGGCGAAGAAGAACCTCATCGTCACAGCGGCAGCGTCGCCAAACGGTATGGCCTCGTCCAAGCCGATCACCAACTCCTCGGGCGCGCAATGGCAGAGCGCTTGCGCGGTGGTGTCCAGCCAGTGGGCGGCGCAGATCGAGAAGGAATCGAGCAGCAATGGCAGCACTGACAGTGGGCACAGCCGCAAATCGACCACGCCCAGCAGCACCTCCTCCTCCTCCATCACCATCCAGGACGCGCGGCGCGGATCCGCATTCCGCGAGACGTTCAAGGATCTGGTCACGCTCCCGCGGCCGCTGTCCATCCAGGATCTCGCCATGCCGCCGGCGCACGGCTCCCAGCTTCGCGTCGCGTACCAGGGCGTCCCGGGGGCGTACAGCGAGTCCGCGGCATCCAAGGCCTACCCGGGCTGCGACCCCGTCCCCTGCGAGCAATTCGAGGCGGCGTTCCAGGCCGTGGAGCTCTGGATCGCGGACCGCGCGGTACTGCCCATTGAGAACTCCTTGGGCGGTAGCATCCACCGGAACTACGACCTCCTGCTGCGTCACCGGCTGCACATCGTGGGGGAGGTGCAGCTGGCGGTACACCACTGCCTGCTGGCGGTACCGGGCGTACGGAAGGAGGAGCTCCACCGCGTGATCAGCCACCCCCAGGCGCTGGCTCAGTGCGAGAACACGCTTACCCGGCTGGGCGTGGCGCGGGAGTCCGTGGAGGATACCGCCGGTGCCGCGCAGCTCATCGCCCAGAACCCGCTGGCGATGCGCGACACCGGGGCGGTGGCCTCCTCCCGCGCCGCCGAGCTGTACGGGCTGGACGTGCTCGAGGAGGACATCCAGGACGAGGAGGGCAACATGACGCGGTTCCTCATGCTGGCGCGCGAGCCCATCATACCGCGGACGGACCGCCCGTTCAAGACGAGCGTCGTGTTTGGGCTCGAGGAGGAGTCCGCCGGCTCGCTGTTCAAGGCGCTGTCCGCGTTTGCGCTGCGCGGCATCAATCTCACCAAGATCGAGAGCCGGCCGCAGAGGAAGCGGCCGCTGCGCGTGGTGGACGATAGCAACCACGGCACCGCCAAGTACTTTGAGTATCTCTTCTACATCGATCTCGAGGCGTCCATGGCGGATCCGCGGGCACAGAACGCGCTTGGCCAACTCCAGGAGTTTGCGAGCTTCCTCCGGGTGCTCGGGAGCTATCCCATGGACATGACGCCGGTGTCCAAGACCGTGCCGTGCGACACAGACGAGGAGCTCGGGGAGGTGGCGGCGGCGGCGGTGGAGCGTCCGTCGCGGGCGGTGAACGGTGCGTGCAACGGCGCTGCCGCGTGATTCTTTCTTCTTTCCAGACTGTAAGATTGGAATTTCATGGAAAGCAGAAAGAGCGACAGAACACACCAAGAGCGTTGTTTCCAAGTGGTGATTTTCTTGTGGGATTCCACTGCCAGAATAAGATAGATATTTTTTTGCGCAGCCATGCATGAAGGCTTGGTGAGCTCGGTAGGTGCACGTGAGTGTAAAGAGGTCACCATAAGGTTAAGAAACCTGTACATTGCTTAGTTGACAGTCAATTTCTAATTTTTATGTATATGTGAACTTAGTAAGAAAATATCACATTAGTTTATGGAAAAAAAGAAAAGATAATAAATCAGGTAAAGTTGAAAGTCTAATTAATAAATATATACATATATATATAAGGTATATTATATAATCTCAGAATACCTTTATAAAATTTAACACAAATGTAAATACATTAAAACTAAAATTAGTATAGAGTAGTGCATCCTAAAAACAAAAATGTTAAAAAAAATTTAAAAAACTTATATAGAATAGAATAAAATTTCAAAATCATCACTAAATATATTTTAATGATCTTTTATTACTATAACCTCTTAAAAGAAATAAATAATTACGTTTAAAAATAAAATAAACCTCTATAAATTCTTGTCTTCAAATGATCCTATATATTAAATTACATAAATATATTAAATTTTTGGGTAAATGCAAAATATTTGTTAGAATATCAATATTTCTTTACTATTATCATTACATTCAATTAATCTAAGCCTAATGTACAATACATATGTACTTTTTGCATTAATTTTTATTAATAAAGTTTTGGCATTCATAAATTTAGATGTAGAGTAAGACTATTTTCTGTTCTTAAAGTAATTACTTTTTCAACAATACAAATAAATAAAAATTCTTATTTTGTAACATCATTTGATCATTTAAACTTTTAAATGTTAGTGGTGGCATAGTATCTTTAAAGATTCTCACTCTTTTAAATAGTAAAATTACCTTTTTATTTATTTGTATATTGTTTTATTAACAATTAAACTTTTACTGTTTAAATTTATTTGCTAATAGATTCTATTAGCATTATAATTTTTATATTTACTTTTAAATTTTTATAAATTATTTTTTATTGAAATACACACACACACACACACACACACACACATACATATATATACACATATATATATATACATATACATATATACACATGTATGTAATTATATTACATACATGTGTGTGTATGTATATATATGAGTACTCTTAACATAGTTGGGCTCTTTTGAAATTGTAAAAGTAAATTAAACCCCAAAAATGTAATGTAATTAAACATTTTTAAATGTATTTTTATTTTTATTTTCATGTATCCTATTGTCATTTTAAATTGATTTAACTTCTTTTGAAAACTTTCCTTTTACTCCAATGATGAAATCATCCACATACACAACATTTATAGTTGATATCCTTGTTTACAAATAAATATTTTGAAAAGGAAATTGTGATGAGTACTTTGATGCAAGCTTGAAATACATAACTCACACACTAGCCAATGCATCTTATGTGGTGACATGAGGCCTCAGAAGTTACTTAAAGAAATATAAAATAAGCCATTTAGGAAGCTAGTATTAATATTCTCCCAAGGCTAATAAAGACATTAAGAAATCTATATATTATTGTTATAATCTAAAATTTAATTATAATTCTGATTAATATGATGTACTTATGAAATGTATTTTAGATTTAAACATGGTGGAGATCTTAATTTATTTATTTTTAAGTCTTCTAACAAATTTAAACTTATAAATGATCCAAATTTTATTAGAAGATATAAATTTTACAATTAATTGGAAAGATTATGAAATTATAGTATTTGAAGGTTCTACAAAATATGAAATTATAGGATGGTATGAACATGAGCACACTTGAATTAATTTTTTTAATATTAAACCTCAATGTTATATCTTAAAATATTTTAAATTATTTTATAATTTTAGTTTTTATTTAAATAAAAAATTAATAAAAAATATATATTCATATATATTCATATAAATTAATATGCTTCTAAAATATTCTAGAATATTTTGTGAAGTTAGGATGACACTATTTTCATAGGAATAGATCTAATATAAAGACTTTTACCCTTGACTATAAATAGCTAATTTATGCATCTAATAGAAGAATTTAAAGGTTAAACTTTTTTTTAAAAAAAATCAAAAGTTCGCTTTAAAATCTTTCTTCTGCTTTCCTGGTCATAAGCTTGTCCAATAACAGCTTCAAGACATGGCATCTAAGCAAGAATATGTAAATCTTCAATGTTCCAATCGACTAAGCCCAGTTCTATTGCTCCTCAAACAATCAGCCTTCATGGCTTGCCGGATCCGGATCACATCCTCGGGCCTCTGAGCAGCAGCATAGATGTTGGACAGCAAAAGATAAGGCGCTGTTTTCTGCGCCTCGGGATCCTGTTCCATGTCGATGAGCTGCTTGGCGGCCACGGCCCCTCGCTCCACATCGCCATGGACCCTGCAGGCATCCAGCAGCGATGTCCACGCCACAGCCAGTTCCTTGCGCGGGAGCTCCCTCACAAACTTTTGGGCTTCGCTTAGCTGTCCGGATCGTCCCAGCGCGTCGATCACACAGTGGTAGTGCTCCGGTAGCTGCGCAAGGCCGCGATCGTCAGGCAACGAGTTGAAGTAGTCCCATGCTTGCTCTACGCGCCCGGCATGGCTGCAAGCGGTGAGGACTCCAATGAAAGTAACCTCGTCGGGTTCCACACCCTCGAGATCCATGCCCCAGAAGAGCTCTAGAGCTTCCATGGGATGCCCGTTCTGGGCATAAGCGTAGATGATCGCAGTCCAGGACACCAGTGTCTTCTCGGGTATTTGGTGGAAGAGTTCCTCGGCGTGGATGAGATCGCCGAGGACGGCATAGACCTGGCACAGGACTGTCCAGCAGATGCTATCTCTCTCGGGCATTCTCTCGAAGATCTCGACGGCTTTCTTGACGTTCCCGGACTGGGTGTAGCCATCGAGCAGCACCGTCCAGGAGACCAAGTCGCGATGCGGCATCTGGTGGAAGATTTCCATCGCTCGGTCGAGCTCCAGCGCCTGGGCGAAACCTCGCATCACCGCAGTGCACGGGACATGGCCGACCTCGGGCATCTTGTCCAGGATAGTTCGCGCTTCCGAGAGAAGCCCGTGGATAACGCTTGCGGCGACGATGGTGTTCCACGAGACATCGTTCCGGGCGGGCATTTGGAGGAAGAGGTGGCGGGCGAGATCCATATGCCCGTTCTGGGCATACGCATGGATCATGATGTGGGTCGAGAACAAGTTCGGTTTCTCGATGGAATCGTAGACACTCCGCGCGTCGCCAGCGCTGCCGCATCGCCCATACATCTCGACGATGAGATTTGCAAGAAATCTGCTCTTGCAGCGCTGCTGGATCCCTCCGGTTACCTGTTCGTGGAGTCTCCTCGCGTCGGCCAAGCTCCGGCACGAACGGATGAGCTGCGAGCACCGCCTAAACTCTGGGCTCCGGAAAAAATCAGCCATGAACGATCTTCATCCATGAATTCATCGATGGAATGAAGGTTAAAGGCATTTGGAGCTCCATCGTTGCGATTTTGCGCCGGCCGTGGGGTTCGAACCCACGACCACAAGGTTAAGAGCCTTGCGCTCTACCAACTGAGCTAGGCCAGCTTACGCAAATGTCCCACTTAATCTAAAGTCAACGCCAGCGTGGAGCTAGCTTGATCCTACGTGTGCGATGACGTGGTTTTGGGTATGGCGGCTGCGATTGCTAGCTGGCTATGGCGCCCTCCATTGTTCCCTCGGCATCGATCATACGGCGGCATCGATTTGAGGATTCGAAGGCGTTGCGCTGTCGCAAGGTAGCGTCTCGATCGATCGAGTTCTCTTTTCGGTGATTGATCTCTTGTCTCTAGAAAATGGAGGCCCTCTCCTCGTCCCCTGATTGCACCTTGTCGTGCGTCGCCCGACGACAAGGAAGAGAGCAGCAAAGAGGACAAGGCATTGGAATTTAAGATCGCAAAGTTCTAGCACTTGACAAGCGACTGTTCTTTCGTTTTTGCTTTTTTTTTCTTAGGGAGTGGAGACTGGAGGAAGTGATCCTCCCGCTGAAGTATCGGTACGTTTCCTCGCGTTCTTTGCTTCGTTCCTTTTGTTTTAATTCTCGTCTTTAGCTCACAGGAGCCTTCTAAAGTGATCAGTGGGTCTCCTCTTCCAGGAGTCAAGGTAACTTTGGCACCAAAGAGTTTCCTTCTAACTACGACGGTTTTGTTCTTGAAAGGCGCCGCTCGAAAGCATCAAAATCCCGAAAGAGGTCCTGGAAACCATTCGTAACCAGATTTTCGGCTTTGATACGTTCTTTGCTACGAGCCAGGAGTACTATGAGGTAACAAGCTAGAGGTTAGTTTGCTGTTCGAGCTCAGGACATTGCAATGTAGGCGGGAGTTATCTTCCGTGGAAACATGCGTGGGGAGCCTGCGGCAAGCCATGCCAAGCTAAGCAGCAGACTACAGGTACGTGATATCGCTTGTGTTCCTCAAAAACGAAGCTTTTATGATTGACAACTTCCAGGAGAAGTTTGGAGACGAGTACCAGCTTTTCTTCATCTCCGATCCAGAGGGAGACAAGCCTCTCGCGGCCATAGTCAGAAACACCTCCTTGCAAACTGAGCCAGGAGGTAATGGTCTCGGTTGGTAATTCGCGTCGATTCTTAAGAAGCTTGCTTGGTTCCACAGCTATACCCGATTGGTTTACAGTTGCCGCCTTTGGGCTCGTCTCACTTGTCACCATTTTTCTTCGAAACTCCCCTGCCCTGCAGCTGAGCCTCTTGTAACTCCTCGATTTCTTTTTTATACTGTCCTTTTTTTCGCTCTCACATTTTTTCTACTTCTTGAAACTGATACTGTGGTGTGAAAAAACATTGCAGGACAGGAAGTTTTACTTTCGAACAGGTATTGGATGCTGTGCCGAGAGCGCTAGTCACTCTATCAGTTCTCCTTGCGCACGAAGCGGGCCACTACGTTGCTGCCAAGAGAAATGGAGCAAGCATCGGGTTGCCGTACTTCATTCCGAGCTGGCAGGTATGGATGGACTCGAGAACTTTTTTCTGTGATCTATTGTTCGCTTTCATTTGCAGCTCGGGTCATTTGGTGGAATCACCAGAGTGACAAGCGTGCTGAAGAACAGATCAGAGCTCGTGGAAATTGCTGCGTCGGGTCCTCTCACTGGCGCGGTTCTCGCGCTGGCAATCATTGTTGTGGGGCTCTTGTTGACACCCGAAAAAGGAGACGGGCTTCTTGTCAGTTCATCGATCTTTCACGACTCCCTTCTTGTCGGAGGAATTGGTAGATTGGCTTTTGATACTATGTTGTGATGGACTAACGACTGTGGCTTGTGCATGCAGCGAAGCTCTTACTTGGCGATGCTCTCAAGGAGGGTTCCACCATATCCATTAATCCAGTGATCCTCTCAGCGTGGTCTGGCTTGCTGATAAACGCAATCAACTGCATTCCAATTGGTGAGATTGACGGTGGACGAATCGCTCAAGCACTCTGGGGGAGGAAGGTAAAGTTCTATAGTTGAGTTCTACGTACTCAAAGCTGGTTTTTGTATATTCTCTTTTCTTTTGCAGGGGTGGTCTCGATTCACTGGTGTCTCAATTGCTCTACTTGGCTTAACTGGAATTTTCAGCGACGTTGCGCTCTACTGGGTCGTCCTGGTTGTTTTTCTCCAACGCGGGCCTATTGCTCCTCTCGCGGATGAAGTAACGCCTCCAAGCTCAAAGCATATAGTTGCTGGTGTTTCAGCTCTACTTCTAAGCTTGCTAGTCTGCTGCCCCTTTCCGTTTCTATTTACCTGAAGGGGGCTGAGGTTAGCTCAAGTTATTTCTCACATCTTTGATGTTCAAAAAGTTCAAGCAAAACAAAACATACTCTTTTACGTGTGTAAGCAGCGCCATTTTACTGCTCTTAGCATTTGGGAAGATCTGCCGAAGGACCTTTCCCATTGTTGACGATAAAAGCTGCATCCAGTCCCCAAGTTTGGGCAAGTGGATCGAATGGCTTTCGGTGGTGACGATGCTGGTTTCTTTGCAAAATGAGCTCCGTAGGGAAGGATGCTACTTTCGTCGGGGTTCCGTTGATGGAGTTGAGGTTCTTGGGTGCCGGGCCAGTGAGCTTGAAGAATGGCCGTCGTTGCCACCGTGAAGGTGATGTTGTTGACTGACGCATCGGCCCCTGGCAAGTCTTGTTCGGTGGACAGCTCTCGGCGCCCAGGCCATCAGTGAAGAACAGTCTGTGGAACCGTGATGGGATCTTCAAGCTTCCTCAGCCTACTGTTGAAGACGACCGTCTTGAGGCGGAAGAGGTGGAAGAACTGGGGGGAAGCTTGCTGGTATTTGAAGATGGTGGTGACTTGTCAAAGGTTAAGTTTTGGCCCGACTCGTTTAGAGTTAGGGTTCTTGAAAGTAGGAGATGACTTCTTTGGACGGTAAGACGCCATTATCCGTGCTGTGACCTGATATTTGTTCCAGTTCTGTTTGAGATGTTTGGGAGCTATCACAACTCGCGGTTTGTGGAGTGCCGCCCAGGCAACGCGATGAAAGTTCTCCCGGACGAGCCAAAAGCGGGCTGCTTCTTCAAGCTGACGCTTCACTGCCCCGCCGTTGTCCCATGGAGCAAGCTTCTCTATGTTCGTCATGACTGTGTGGAGCTTTTTAAGGCATTGGAGCTTGAGCTTCTCGAGCAGGAGGAACGCCTTGCGCAGGAAGATGCGCAGGGAGGGAGTGCGGAGGAAGAGAGGGCAGCTATCCCGTTTTGGAAGTTCTTCACAGGGCACTCGGGGACTGGAAAAACGATGATTGGCCTGCAGCTCTTGTTTACGTTCATGAAGAAAGGACGCACTGTTGTGTACCATAACAAGATCATGTCTTCCGGCTACGCAGTCTTCAAAGAGAAGAAGCTTCATTCCGTGGGGGATAGAGCTAAGGTTGATGGGTATTTGGGTGACCAGCGGACGATCTTCATAAATGACAGCTCTGCTTTCGAGGCGATCGGTTTGATAGCAGCTAACATGTTGCTGATTGCAGATCCTGATTTGGTCGATAAAGACTTTTTCAAGACGAATGATGTTTTCTACGGATGCTTGTGGAGTGAAGAGGAGCTCAGGGAGTGCCACAACTTCGTGTTTAGGGGGGGACTAGATTGGGGTGATGTGCAGCAGCACATTTACTATGCCGGTTTTGTTCCAAGGCTCGTGTTCCAGCAACCACGGCGGTTCCATTCTGTTCTCAGCCAGCTGGAGGCTGAAACGGGACACGAAAAATCACTGCTCTCCGTGATCTCTGCGGTTGGACCCTATTATCTGGACAAGGAGTTCCCGGATTACAGTGTCCACCTTGACAGAGGATCTTATTCGGCTGAAGGTTACACGAAGATTGGCTCGAAGTTTATAATGGAACAGCTGCTTTTGCAACTTGACGTGCCACACTGGCGCGATGCGCTTGTATCCTACAAGATGCGGCGAGGTCCCGTGGCGGATTTCAGAGGAGAGATCATGGAACTGCTGATGCATCTCACGTTTCCAAAGTTCCTCGCTGACTGAGAGCAGATCCTGCCCCGGACCATGCCCGCTCGAGCTCCAGGCAACGTCCAAAAGCTGGTGGTCGATGAGCAGGAGGATCTTCACGTCTATTTCTACTCCAGTTTTGAGGATTTGGAGGTGAAGATCAAGGATTGCCTGGACAAAGGTGTGAAGGCAGCTTATTTCTGGCCAAGGTTGCAGACGGATGCTGTCGTAGACAGCGTTTTCATTGACTTCAAGCGGCAAGTTACGTTCCTCCTGCAGGCCACTGTGGCCAAGACGCGTAGGACTGTTGTCTGGCACCCAGTTCACAAGCTGGTAGGCTTCCTACGTCAAAACAGCATAGGAGTTGCAGGGCTGTATTTTGTGATATCAGAAACCAGCTATACTCACTTCGGCTACCAGACCTGGAAGAAGGTGAGAGGGGTGCACCAAGATGAGTTGATACTGCCCGATCTTCCTCAGTACAAGGTGAAGTTTAAGGTGCTCGAGAGCGACATGGAAAACCTGGAAAAGCTGCAGGAGTACAGGGACGGCATTGATGAGAGCTTGAAACTGATGGCGGTAAACACTTGTGTGCATATCAACATTCTTGACAAATTTATTTATTTTGGCAGAAATTCGGCAATGATATGCCAGAGTGCTGTATCCGCAAGCGAAGGCGGACGACTGACATGGACGTGGAAACTACTCCAACTGCGTGCGTGTGAGTTTTCTGTAATTGCTTGTGAATGTTGGTTGGCTGAGCCGCTTTGAGCAGGACGCCTTATGCGTGGAGTGATCCGCTGGAAAAGCTTGGAGTGCATGACCGTTTTTTGCAAGGTCCAGACTTATGTTGATTTACTTTCTCCTACAGAGTGAGTAGTGTTGGAGGGCACAAGTTTTGATAACTCTTAGTTTGATAGCTCGAACCCACGACGCCTTTAATCGAGACGTGTAGCGCCCACCAAACCACCAAAAGCTTAAACACCATTAAATAGATAAGGTGATATAACTTTAGCAACGAAGAGCTCTTTCTTTTTCTAGCGACGATTTTGACCACTCGAAAGCATCAAAATCCCGAAAGAGGACCTGGAAACGATTCGTAACGATACGTTCTTCGCTATGACTATGAGCTAACAAGCTAGAGTTTGGTTGCTGTTCGAGCTTAAAACACTGCGGGAGTTCTAAACATGCATGGAGAGCTACATGCTTGAAGTTTTACCTTCGAGCAGCTGTGCCGAGAGCGCTAGTCACTCTGTAGTTCTCCTTGCGCACAAAGTGGGCCACTACGGTGCCGCGAAGTGAATTGGAGCAAGCATCGGGTTGCCATACTTTATTCCGAGCTGGCAGGTACTCGAGAACTTTTTCTTTGATCTCTTGTTTTCGCGGTCATTCCGTGGAATCACCAGAGTGACAAGCGTGCTGAAAAACAGATTAGAGCTCGTCGAATTATCTCGTCACCGGTGCATTTCTCTCGCTGGCAATCATTTTTGTTTGTGGGGCTCTTGTTGACACCCGAAAAAGGAGACGGGCTTCTTGTCAGTTCATCAATCTTTCACGACTCACGTAAATCGGGTTTCATATTATGTTGTGATGTACTAGTGACTGTGACTTGTGAATGCAGCGAAGTTCTTACGTGGCGATGCTCTTTCCACCATATCCATTAATCCAGTAATTCTCTCAGCGTGCTCTGGCTTGCTGATAAATGCAAGCAAGCACTTTGGGGGAGGAAGGTTGTTTTTTTAATTTTTCAGTGGTGGGGCTTAACTTCAGCGACGTTGCACCCTACTGGTTTTTCTCCAACGCGGGCCTGTTGCTCCTCACGCTGATGAAGTAAAGCCTCCAAGCTCAAAGCAAGCTTGCTAGTTTGCTGTCCCTTTCCGTTTCTATTTACTTGAGGGGAGCCGAGGTAATCTCAAGTTGGTTCTTTATTTTCTCACATCTTGGATGTTACAAAAAAAGATTCAAGCAAAACAAAACATACTCTTTTGCGTGTGTAAGCAGCGATTTTACTGCTTTTAGCACTTGGGAAGATCTGCCGGTGGTGGCTGTAGTGATTGCGAAGGACCCTTTCCATTGTTGACGATAAAGGCTGCATCCAGTCCCCAAGATTGGTGGATTTCCAAGTGGCAATGCATGAACCAAGCCCCTGCGAAAGAGAAGGAACAAAGTAAGTTTTCTTTGCTTCAGCGAAACTACTAACCTGGATTGTCTGTCTTGAATCTCAGTGCGGCCCATCCTCCAACCGGTACTCCGATAGTGTTCCTCTCCGGTGGATCAACGAGGTTGAATGTGGACGCCAGGGAAGAGTTGTAGTTTCCAAACCCCGTTCCAACGACGTAGAAGTTGTAGCCATGCAAGTGGATCGGATGGCTTTCAGTCGTGACGATGCTGGTATCTTGCAAAATGAGCTCGACATTGGCTCCGTAAGGAAGGACCGCTACTTTCGTCCGGGTTCCATTGATGGAGTTGAGGTTCTTGAGTGACGGGCCCGTGTAGTTGAACTTCACCAAAGGCGAGATGGGGAAATCAGTGCTGTAGACGCCGGGGGTGTTGAAGTAGTGAGCTTGAAGAATGGCCGTTGTTGGCACCGTGAAGGTGATGTTGTTGACAGACGCAGCAAACCTTCCGCCGTTCGGTCCCTGGCAAGTTTTGTTTGAGGCTCCCGGTGGACAGTTCTCGACGGCCAGGCCAACCGTGAAGAAGAGGTGCTGGTCGACAGTCTGTGGAACCGCGATGGGATCCTCAGGAGTTGCGAGCTTCCTCAGCTTACTGTTGAAGGCCGTGACTGGTTTGGTGTCGTTGAAAAACGGGAGAGGCGGGAGAACTGGGGGGGACGAAGAAGAAGCTTGCTGGTACTGGAAAATGGCGGTGACGGTGGTGTTGTCAAAGGTTACGTTTTGGCCCGACTCGTACGAGTGAGCAGCCATGAAGTAGCGTCCTGGAGCTTGGTTGGCAGTCACCAACAGGTTCATGGTCTGCCCTGGAGCAATCACCACGACGTTGGTGTTGAAAGGCTTGACGTAGCCAGCGTCCGCTTCCACCACGGTTAGAGTGTGGTTGGCTATGGCGAAGAAGAGCTCCGTGTTGAGGACAGCGTTCACGAGCCGGAGGAGATAAGTTTTCCCAGGAAGAGCATTGAGGACGAAGACATCTGCGATATAAACTCGTTAGCTATCCAGAAAGGAGGCCTGGAAACGATCACCGCACCTTGGGAGGAGCAATTGTAGAGAGGCCCGGGTTTTCCATTGATGGTGAAGGCATCCGAGATGTTTGGACCGCCGCCGGTTCCCAGCGCTTGCTTGACGACTTTGAGAACGTCGCTCTTCCACCACTCGCCTGGACGGAAAACTCTCAAAGTTAGACAACCTCATCGGGTTTCTAGTGCGGTCTCTTACTGAAGATGAGTGGAACTTCCTTCTCGGGCTTTGGAAACGGGTAGCCGAGGCCGGGCTTTGGATGGATGATGAAGGCTCCATGCACGGTTGCTCTCAGCCAGTTGATGTGCGCGTGCCACCACAGAGTTCCTCGCTGCTCGGTGACCGTGAAGTTGTACGTGAACGTCTGGTTTGGCTGGATCGGGCACTGGGTGATGTAGGCGGGTCCGTCAAACCAGGCGGATCGCAGTTGCCTCACTCCATGCCTGGTATAAACTCTCGAGAATTCAATCATCTCTCTTTAATTTTCTTCTTTGCTTCAGGACTTACCAGTGAATGGTCATGTTGTGTGGGACTCGGTTCGTGACTTTGACGACAACGCGATCGCCCTCGTCGAGGTGAATCGTTGGTCCTGGAAACTTTCGGTTCACTGAGATTATGTGCTTGGTGCTGCAGAGCTTGCTCACTTTGTGCGATTGGATCTAGCAAACAAGGCCGCGAGTTTCATCCATCCACTTTGGAGAAGAAAGACCCATTCTACTCACCGTGAAGTTGTAGTGCCTGGTAACTCCGGCTTGGACTCCCTGTGCGAGCGCAAGAACAATGCCGATGGCGAGCAGCAGCATGGTGGAATGCATTGCCTCTTCCCGAGCAAAGACGAAGCAAACGAATGAAGAGCTCGAGCTGAGAACTCCCGAGCTGCGATCCCGGCGATGGAGTGACGATGGCAGCCATTTATACCCGGGGCCAAGGTTTCCAGCAGACAAGAACAGCCAACAAACTGCGTGGTCACACACACTTGAGGACCAAGGCAAGCAAAAGAGAGAGAGTAGTCGGAGCACAAAGACAGAACAACAATTCCACCAGCCGAGAAGCGCGCCAAATCACCAAACTTTGGCATTTCCATCCATTCCCTTCTCTTCTTTTGGGTGCTGTACGAAGCAAGCGGCGCTGGGCCGTCGGATGCGCACCCCGGGCCGCACGCTGGCCGTCGGATTGCCGGTTGGCCATCGGTTTCCTAGCTTGGAAAGGAATCGTGATCATTCTGCCTATCCATTCCACTGCACTCTAGCTCTCCAACTAAAATCTAGGTAGATTTTAGGGCAAAGTGTCGCGATTTTAGGGCCACGTCAGCGCCTTTGATCCTCCACGTGGACGGCGTCTTCCTCTCAAGCTATGGCGGCTTCTTTGCGGCAACATCCAAGCTTCTCGGCTCCAAGCGCCCTCTCTTGCTTAAATCGCTCGCGGCGGGCAGTGGTCGTTCGGTGCTGCGCTGGTGAGTAACGCGCATTCCTCCAGAGATCCAAATTTCTCTCCGCTGCGCTGTGATTCGCAGCAGCGGGAGAACAAGATGGCTCCAGAAGGAGCACTCTCGGAGCTCTAGCCTGCGGCCTCTGCGCTGGATTCGCGATCGCTACAACAGCGTTTCCTTCCATTGCCGAGGTGAGAGAGTTCTTCCGGTTCTTCCCGCGAGTTCTTGAAAGTTTGTAAGTTTCTTTCGTTTCCAGGTGAGGCTACCACCACTCTCGAATGATCCCAGGCGCTGCGAGCGCGCCTTCGTGGGCAACACCATCGGCCAGGCCAACGGCGTCGCGGACAAGCTCCTGGATCTTCGCTTCTGCGACTTCACGGATAACAAGGACGGGCTCAAAGGCAAGACGCTGTCCGCAGCTCTCATGGCCGACGCCAAGTTCGATGGCGCGGACATGACCGAGGTGGTCATGTCCAAAGCCTACGCCGTCGGGGCCAGCTTCAAAGGTGATCGTTTCTTCCCTGGCGCTGGCTTCTCAAACCTTTGAATCGCAGGAACTGATTTCACCAACGCTGTCCTTGACCGGGTTGTCTTCGACAAGGCCGATATGAAAGGTGCCGTTTTCCGGAACACCGTCCTGTCCGGCTCCACTTTCCAAGGAGCCAATCTGGAGAATGCCGACTTTGAGAACGCGCTGATTGGCTACAACGATGCCAGGAAGCTCTGCTTAAATCCCACACTTTCAGAGGAGAGCACGATCGAGCTTGCCTGTAAGCGGTGATGGCGATCGTCGAGAAGAGATTGAGAGAGAAGTTTGCGGTTTGCTGTTTGAACTGCGACTGCGAGTGTAAAAGATATATATATACATATAACTTTTGGATCGAGCGAAAACTAGACGTCAACTTCCATACTTGCGGTCCCATCGTTGTCTATCCGGAGAACATCAAGCTTGCTGAGAAAGAGAGATTTCTATCAGTACCACGATCTTACAATAAGAAAAAATAAGACTTTTACTTGTCAGGCTGTGAGTAAAAGAATCGTAACATTCCCCTAGGGAGAACCAGTGAGCTTTCGAAATCCCGTGGATGGCCTATCCCCTTCAACCAAACACCAGCGACACGCTTCATCAGGACAAAAAGAAAAGCACGCAACTTCGATTTATTCACCTTTGATGAGGCGTGGAACATCAGTCCTGTAATTTCTTGACCGAGACGGTCTATCCAAACCTTTCTCGCTTGAACTAGTTCCAGGACCCAGTCAAATATCTGTTTTGCAAACAAGCCGCAGAACTAAGAAACGCGGGACAAGGAAAAAGACTCTACCTGAGCTAATCGATATCGAGGAGGCTCGAGATGTCCACCATTGAATCGAAATCCTGTCCCTTGGCACTCCGGACAGAAGATCGGCTTGTCCTGGTGATTGAGGTGCTGCTGCCCGACACTCTGGAGGCTCTTGCGGAAGTTCCGGCTGAAGTGCAGCGAGTGTCCCATCCAGAACTTAGCGTCAAACAACAAGATCCAGTTGATGAGACAGTAAGTGTGATAGACGTGGAAAGCCTGCAACCAAAAAACTAGAGAAGTTATACCCAAGAACACCATAGAAATCACGAAAGTGGGATGATAAACAAGAACAAGGAAGAAAGAACATACCCCGAGCCAGTTTCGACTGTGACACATCATTTGCCTGTTGCTCATGTTGAGAAGCGTGGCAACATCCTTCCCAGCGACCATCTTTTGCCGGCAGATGAAGCAAATCCTCTCGGTTTGCTTCGTGCGCTTCCGGCCCCTCGTCCCTTTCTTTGCCTGCTGCTCGACAATCGCCATAGCTCGAGGCGCACTGCCGCTATTGTTCTCGCCAGTCTCTTCTTTGGCGGAAGAACACAGCACCACGCCTTTGCCGAGTCCTTCGCTGTATGGAAACACGACAAGTCCATACTCGGCCTGGCCGCTTTGCTGCTGCTTCACAAGCACTCGCTTCTCCAGCCAGCAAGCCTCCACGAACTGAGCACCAGGCCGGACCTTGACGAACATCTGCCCTTGATCGACCAGCTGGAGTGGAAGCTCCGGCAGAGCAACCAGATTTAATGGAGCCACCAGAGAGGAAGAGGTGTAAGAGCTGGGGCTGTCCACTTCCATCTTGGAAGAATGCCGGTGGTTCTTGGTCCCATAGATCCTTTTTTGAGCGCCCACAATGCTGCCTGCCTCGCTGCCTTGCCTCTCATCGTCGGGCTTTGGCGAGACGAGGCCACTCCCAGCCAAATGCCGCGCGTGGAGATTTCCCTTGAGGTGATTCCACAAGGAATCGTCGTTGTAGCTGCGAGTGCCGCAGACGAGGCAGAAGAAGATCGGGCGCTTGCCGTCGCGGCGGAGCTCGATGCAGGTGTGGCCGCGCTGCGCGGCATCGCGAACAACAGCTCGAGCTGCCTCCTCCTTGACGCCTTTCAGCATCGCGGCCATGGATTCTTGTGCTTGGCGGGGGAATTCGTCGTCGTCATCGTCAACCCTAGCTGCCGCTGCCGCTGCCGCGGCTCCATCCCCCTGGAAAATCTCATACCTCGAGAGTGCATTCGGTGGACGCGCTGGAGAAAGAAACCCTCTCTCTCTCCCCCGAGGCGCGCGCGTTCTTCTCCGATAACTTAGAAGATAGTGAAGACCCAGGGAGGAATATTCGAGTTTATTTTATGACGTACACAAAGAAATGGTTAAAATATAGACCGTCTTATCTTCCCGTTTAAAAAAGTTTTAGCATCCGATCTGCCGGAATCGAACCAGCGACCTAAGGATATCAGTGTACATTACAGTCCTCCGCTCTACCAACTGAGCTAAGATCGGTTTTTATGCTGAAGAGATGTAAATTATCCCAATAATTATAGTTAATGTTTAAAAGTAACGAGGCTCAGCCCTAAGCACAGTTGGATATGGCGGGAGTAGTGGCTGGGCATGGCGCACTCCCTCTCACGCGCGCTAATCCAGCTCCAGGGAAATTAGGGTGCCAGAAGATCGCCATAGCTATGGCATCGCACAATGCGAGCCTCGATAAGAGGAATCCAGCCCTGGTGATCAGTCGTCGAGCGGCATTCTCCTCGGCGGCAATGCTTTCGCTGCCGCTGCTTGAGGCAATTCTTTCGCGCAAGGCGGCGGCATTGATCGAGGCCGACGATGACGAGGAGCTTCTGGAGAAGGTCAAGGGGGATCGGCAGAAGCGGCTGGAGAAGCGAGAGACTTTGATCGGTCTCAAGGATGAAACAGGTGTGTTTTTTTTCTTGTTCTTGAGTTTTGGAGTTGTTCTTATATGTTTCATGTGTAGCTTATGTCCAGAATGCTGTATACCAGATGAGCAAAGCTGGGCAAGCCATCGAGAAGGACGATTTTGTGGAAGCCAGCAACATCCTTGGAGCTGCTGATTGGGTGTCCAAGACTAAAGAGGCGTTTTCCAAGGTTTGCGGAAGAACACAAGATCACAAGTCGAGCTTTACATGATTATATTCAATGCAGGTGAGCAAGAATTCCGAGCAACAAGGCCAAGCGGAGATCTTCACCTCGTCTCTACAAACACTCCAAACTGCTGGTAACGCTGGACTTTTTCAGAAATTCTCGCAAGCTTTCTAACACCTTTGTGTTGCTCCGCAAAGTTTCAAACAAGGATGGACAATCGGCCAAGGTCGCGTTTTTCACCTCCGCGACAGCGCTTGAAAAGTGGACGAGCTTGACCGGACTCACGGAACAAATCAAAGGCCTGTAAATCTATGGATCCTTCAAAGCAAAGTGTCGAAAGCTAAGTTTTTTCTCGCATTGTCAGTTTACAACGAGGAGTCTGGCCTTCGTGGAGAAAGATAAGTGGCTCGAGCTCATCGCGCTGGCTTCTACGCGCATCCAACAAGCTCGTCCATGTAGCATGGTCGGGATCAAACGGCATGCTTTTGAGCAAACTCTCGGCCTCCTCCACCCTGCCAGCTCGGCCCAGGAGATCAACCATGCTGTTGAAGTGCTGAGCACTCGCAGCCACTCCAAAGTCCTGCTTCAGCGACACAAAGTTCTTCCAGCCTTGATCCAGCAGCCCCAGGTAACAACACGCAGCCAGAGCTCCAAGGAAAGTCATTTCATTCGGTTGCTCGCCGTCCATCTTCATCCTCGAGCAGGCTTCCAGTGCTGACGCCGCAAAGCCACTGCAAGCGTAGCCTTGCACCATCGCAGTCCAGGACACAGAGTTCTTCATCGGCATTGCCTCGAAGAGAAAGCTTGCTCGGGCCAGATCTCCGTTTTGAGCGAAGGCTTGCAACATGATCGTCCAGCTTACAACGTCCCTCTCGGGCATGGCATAGAAAGTCTCCATGGCCTGGCTGATATGCCCATTCAGCGCATATCCCCTCACCATGGCTGTCCAGGATACCAAGTTTGGAGTGGGCATTTGGTCGAAGATGGCTCTGGCGTCGTCCACGAAT